AAATCGACAGGACTAGGCTGTTTTGATAAGCTTGAGGGAAACTATTACAAATGATCTTTTTTAATTTATGCCTAAATTTTGAATCAGCCAGTAAATAGTTAGTGTAAACCAGGAATATTTGTCTGGAAAAGTAATAAAACCTAAATGAGTATAGTAGTGTTATAAAGTTTGCAATTTTTTTCAATATTTGTAATCAGTTATTGCATCGGATATGGCTTAGAACCGATCGCAATCGGGTAGATATATTCACTCCTTATCGACCCCCCCCCCCTAGATGTTGAATTGTGAAATCATCCCATACGTTTAACTTCACTAATCATATTGTATATGTTTAATTTCTTATATTGAGATGGTGGAGAAGAGTTTTAGACCAGGTGTATGATTTTGATGGAGTTTTGTTCTCTGAGCTGGATGGTTTGGTCGTGGAGCTTTCATTGTTCTTCTGAACGACATCATCAGCACAAACTTCAGATGGAAGCTTTACAACCAAACCATCCAGCTCAGAGAACAAAACTCCATCAAAATATCTAATATTACCATTGTTACTGTTACTTATTTTACTACTCTGGCATTTGTGCAGATAATTTTATTTCATTGTACTAATATGATATAACACCTAATTCTATGAGATCTGAGTACTATGTATGTTAGTATTGTAGTGGCTGAGCTTCGTTAATCAATCGCCTTGATAACCGTAATTATATAAATCCCAACGGTTTTTGAAATCAGAAGGCAATAAAAAAGCGGAGACTACAGTTTATTAGCAAACAGCATGGATCACAAACCTACGAGCACACCCAGTGAGTTTGAAGCAAAAGCGAATTTATAGTCAAATCGAATCAAGGCAAAGCAAAAGCTATTAGTAGGATTCAAGTACATATATACATGAGGAAGTAAATGATTGATTGGGTGATGTTTAATTTATCAACACATAAGCTAGAGAGAAATATTTGCATAAGCTGTTATGTGATCAATCGTACATGTTTATACAGACATGATAGTGATCAGAATAGTACAAAGAAATATGTGAATTGTTATTGTTTGAAAAACGTCGTCTGTTAAATAAGTTAATATAAAGTGCTTAACCAAAATTAATCATAATCGAAGTGGATTGTAGGCTAGTTGCTACGGTTTTTTTTATATCAAAGCTGTATATACAACAAAGGATAAATGATATTAACCTTTGAATTAAGCTGACAAAAATGGAAAATAAGCGTTAATTTCTAGATCGTTTTTATTGATGATGATGGATTTATATAGTTTAATTGAAGTTGACAGTACATTCAATGAATACATTACATAAATAGATTGAGTTTGTCCGTAACATTCAATTTCTTTTTCAAGTTTATTGTATCCAGGACTTTTAATCTTGTTTTTCATTCGTTTATTGTGTGAATACTATATAATGGAGTGTAATTTTCATTAAAGATTTCATTATAAAACACAATTGAAACTTTTCTGAAACTGTCCATTATCAACATGTCAGTGTAACGAAACTCAACAATGATCAGACAAAAATTCACAAATACAATGAAATTCAAAGCTTAAAATAAACTCTCTAAATGAGAATTACACTCCAATATACTGTACTCATTCATTATGTAAAATGAAAGAATGACCGAAAATACTAAATATTAACATCTATATTAAACATTTCGAAAAAAACATTATAGACATTTACCACCTATGTATGTCACATAGTAAACATAATATCACTAATTGTCTCAATACAAATAAGAACCAATGAGAGAAAAATATTACTAGGACAATTTTATCATTGTATACTTAATGACCTTACTCTTTTAGTTTCTTGGAACAAAAAAAAGAAAAAATATTTTAGAAAATGATCAATTTTTTTCTCTCCATTAATCAATAATGTTGAAGGTATTGTGTAAATACTATACATTAATATAACTTCATGTGATTAATCGATTATATGTGTGTATACATCATAATTCTATGTCAAAACTAACAGTTAAGGCACTTGAAAATGAATAAAAAGAAAAAGAAAACAATCAAAAAAAAATCAGTTTATTAAAACAAACGAATTCCTCTATTTAAGGAGTTAGTGATAGGTAAAGTGATTTTTTTAAAAATTCTTTATTATAGATTGTCATTCATTACAAACACTATATATTATACGTCATCATATTACTTATTATAATAAGTAACGATATATAGTGGTAACCATTTTGTGCGTAAACTATAAGTTATTTATCATTATCATCACTATATAGAGAAAAGTAAACTATTATTTCTACGTAATATAATGACTGGTATACGTAGCAGACTACGTTGAAATTGTATTGTGTTGTATGGTGTTGTATGTAAATTATCCCTTAAGTCTTATAACATCTTATATCATGTCAAAATAACAATCAACTTAAAATAAGATCCATCTAATGTTCAAGGGATAGTACTTTATGAAATCTCAATTTTATTGTAATATATACATGGATTAATGTTGATTAAAACAATGGAGAAAGTGTTATTATGATTAAACTATCAGAGTACAGTTCAACAAAATGTTATCAAAAATTGATGTATTTGGAATCGTGGAAACAAAAAAGAAAATTTCTAATCATTTCTTGAGACTGTTCATTGTGTAATTTACGAAATGGATTGATTGTAGCTAAGGAAAAAATAAGATTGGAATCAGGAGATAACTATTTTTATTCTAAGTATTAAATATTACAGTCTATACCTATGATGTCACTACTAGAGGGTGAAACCTAAGAATTCTAAGTCTTTTGTCCGTCGCGTTTATGAACATAATTACAACTTGACTATAGTTGAACATGTGAATCATTGAATGATAACTCATTGATATTAGAAGCAAAGTGCTTTTCCATGAGACCTGAAAATACTGAATTTAATTTGTGATTAAATTCATTAAGCGACTCATATTAGTACAAAACAGATTCTCATTGCTCCTTGGTTTTTAATGGTTGTTTAGTTACGGTCAGTTCATAATGTATAAACTACGGAATTTGCATTTTTGTCATCTTGAGGCTTACACACAAATATAGATTTCTAGTAATTTCATTCACTCTTATACAAAAATTACTTCTTAAACTCGCTAAATAAAAAAGTCAATGTTTTCGAAATAGTATATATGGATGGGTTTGACCTTAATGGTTTTAGTGGTTTAGAGGTTAGGCGAACGTAATGCGACACAAAGGTCCTGGGCTCGGGGAGCAGTGAGATTGGGAATGAGTACTGCTGATAGGTCTCATAATTTAAAGGAAGACAAAGAGTGTATATACTCACGCCAGTGTGATCGATTCTGAGCCATGTCACTCAGATTCTCCAACCATTGATTACGATAGTCACGCGGACCTCAACCAAGAAATCTGCATCTAGCAACATGGCTAAGACTATAAGTTATTGACTTCAAGCACTACTGACACGTTTTGGTTTGGCCGCTCTTAACTTTCTTCCAACCATCCCCAACACTAGTCAGCATTGCGCGTCGTGGTAATCGGTGTTCAGGCATACGTAACACGTGGCCCAACCATCTTAGTCGATGAGACAGAGATGTGTGGTGTTTCCAACGAATAAATCTACGTCGATAATTACCAAAGAGTAACAAACAAAGAATCCTTAGTGTGATATTTAGTTAAATCAAACCAGTATACAAGACAAAAATTCAAGAATGATTTCAAGTCATATAGTTCACTAATTTCTCAATTCTTAATCTTAAACTTGGTAAATTTAATTCTCCTATAAATCTAAAGATTTCATAGACAAACTCATAATACTTGAAACTGGTTATTCTAAAAAAAACCAACTCCTTACATAAATATAACACTATTTGACCATCTCAAGTTTATTATGTCAACTATTTCTCCCATCACTTAATCATATTCAAAGCATTAATTAAATTAGACAGCTTATTGTAGTACATTAAATGTACGTTTATACTAAATTCCATAATCCTGTGACTTGACATAAGTAATTACTGGATATAATGTGAAACATTCAGTCAGTCAGTCAGTTACAACGTAGGAGCAGGCACATATATGCATCGATCCAAGTTGCCATACCGCATTAGCACAGCAAGATGAGCACCAGATTCATAGAATCAGTTAACTCAATGGTGTAATATATAAAGGAAAGATTTTATTCAAGGATATAGTACAAGAAGAAAGAATTAGTATGTAGGAAGAAAGATATGAAGCGACTTTAATCTCATAGTTTAAGGGAAGACAGAGGGTGTGTACACCGACACCATTGTGATCGATTCTGAGCAATTTCACCCAGTCTCCAATGAGGTGAAACATTTACAGGCAATAAAAAATTTTTCCATTTGTTCATCAGTTTAACTTACATCCAACTATAATCAACGAATGCAGGTATTTTCATGTAATTGCAATGAAAATTGGTTGATATTTGCAATTGACGAAAGATAAGGGAATATCAAGTATTAAAAAAAATAAGCTCTATGCTGTCATCTGATTCAAATGAACATAATTTTCTGATTAGTTAATCAGTACTACGTTAACCCATCTAAAATGTTTAACACGAGAACTAGTTTATAGTTTTTGATTTCATCACAAAATCTTGTATCAATAAAGTGTAAGTTTTTCAGTCAAATTATAAAAAAACCTACAAATATTCGCCTTAGTAACAATGATAAATTCATTTTCTGCTCCCCTCTCTCAACTCGAACATTGAGAAACGATCATAATAAATCTGTTTGTGTATAATAAGAAATTAGATTTAACGAATCATTTCTAACTTCTATATATACTACTGATGATAGGGGAGGGGGCTAACTGCCTATTGTAACGTATTCATTGAAGAAATCATACAATATAGTTGCAAGTACTTTTTGAGGTAAATAAACGGGATAGATAATATCATATTTGACTTACGAGAATAGCTTGGAAGTATGTTCTCTTAACCGCGAAACTCTTGATTCAAATGTCAGTCCATTCATACATACAAACATAAATATTGTTAACAAATTAAGTGACTAGTTCCAATAATATACTTACTGAATAAGTTGTATCCAATTGTAATTGTTCATCACTAATAATCATCCAAGCTGGATAATGAATAGCTTTTTTGACATTAATATTCTCACCACTTTGATGGTGACTATTAGTCGCAGTAATAGTACTTGTTGAAAGTTTCGGTGTTAAATTACTCGAGGCAAATCCTTCACTAACATTATAACGCTGCATAGAATGAATATTATTATACAGTGATGTTTGATTTATCACAGTTTTAAGTATTAAAGGCATTGATTCATAGAATTCAGTTTGATTGAATTGATTCATCCCACTGTCAAATGTTGATGAGTTTGTGATTTCTGAAATAGATGGTTTCTTTTGCGAACGCGTAAACGATGTTGTTGATTGAGGTGATGACAACGAATTATTCGATAGACAACTAACACGAGAGGATGATAAACGGCTACAATGTTCACTGACATCATTTAGTAATGTTTCTGGTTCATTAATTTGATCACTTGTCTTACGTTTAGGTGGCCATAAACTAACTGAAGATAAATTTATCATTGATTTAGAAAGAGGTTTATTTGTTTTATTTAACTGTTCAACATTTATCTCTTCTGAATTGTCCGAATTTACAAATGCATTCTCTTCATCACCAACATAAGCTCCAATACCTAAGTTGCCAAGAAAAGATTGCATTTCTTGTGGAGGTGAATTAGAATTATCAGGATAATGATGATGATGATACTGATGATGATTATGATTCTGACTAGTTTGTTGATTATAAGAATGATTATTCTCTGTTCTTAATCCATCCAATGTTATGGCAGTTGTAGCACTAATACTAGTCATTTTTAATAAACGTAACCATCTTCGAACTTTTTTACCGGGATTTATATTTTCATCTTTTGATTCAATTTTAGTTGGTTCACGAGCACTTTGAATTATATCACCTGTACTTTGATTTCTTCTAGCTTTCTTTTTTACATCAGTTCTTTGTTGAGCACCTCGACCACGAAATATTCTTGGTCGTTTAGATATACTTATATCTTCAGATAAATTTGACATCTTTTTCTTTTTACATACAACAATGATGATAAATGATTCAATTTATTTACACACAAAAAAAATATGTAATAATCACTGTGTTTCTATCATTTAATCTTTGATTAGAATTATATAAATGAACAAATCACCATGGTAATTGAACAAATCAAAAATATTTGATTCCATTTAACATTTATTTATCTGACTGATTTTTATATAGAAACAAAATAAATATGATTTTGATGAATTGAATATGAACTTTAACCAAGAATGTCTTATTCAAATTGTAAGCATTCTTCTTCTTCTTATTTTTTCTCCTTTAATATGTACTCTTTCAAATATATTGTAACTTACCATAACCAATTTATACCATATATACATAGTACATATTGTATATACAATCAGATAACATGTATATACATATATGTACATACATTTGTGCTTGTTTATATATATCTACCTATCCTAACATAGAATATGATATTGTTTGTACAAAGTGTAACTAAATAAGTAAATAAATAATGTAAGTTAGATTGAAAAATCGCACACACACACAAATCAATAAAATCAGTCATATAACACCTACGCATAAAATGTTGAGAAGTTGGTCAGGACAGTAGTTAGTGTTCTTTATTGTTTTTGTTGTTTGTTTGTTTGTTTTTGAGAGAGAAAGAATAATATTCCATTGATGAGGTAATTTCAATATAGTTTCTAGTAAAACATTTCAAATAAAATATGTCGAATTGAAAGAAGTAACTATTTGATTTATGATGATCATATAGTGATAAGGTTCTATACAATATTCAATGTATAATAAAGTAAACTATACTTCTTGAATATATAAAAACGATTTGTTTATTCTGATGAATAGTTCTAGATAATAGATCCAAATGAGCAGCTTCATTTTCTGTTCTGTTATCATTGAAAGATTTAAAAGAAATTAAATGAGTTATACTTTAATATGGATAGTATATTATCCATGATCAGTGATATGATTGGTTAATTATTGACTAATCAGATTTTGAATACAAATAGATGTATTGACAGAATTAATTTTCTTCATGGGAGTCATAGTAACCCAAATGTAAATATTGACTAAATTTTAATAATATAAGAATTAATGTTCTCCAATTTTGAAACTACTAAACATGTTTATACATAGGTTGAAATCATGAGTCAATTGAAGCTAGACCACCATGGAAAACCTGGAAGCACTGAACGGCCGTTTCGTCTTAGTATGAGACTTCTCAGAAGTGCGCATCAACGAACTCGCACCCCGCGGGATTCGAAATCTCCTAAAACCTCGACAAAACTCATTCTGATAATAATCAACTGCTCGCTAGTGACTGACTTCAGGAGAACCTCCTGGAGTTCTAGTGAGAAGCCGTCACCAGTGGAGTTCAACCAGGTCTGTTGTGAGATATCAGCTCACTGAAGACGATGGTATATGGTGGCGCAACTTTTTGGATTGGTTGAAGTTAGACATTAACACCGTTGGATGTCGGCTCATTGGTCTAATGGCTAACCGCTCGCGCGCGAAGCCAGTAGGTCCTGGGTTCGAATCCCGCGGGGTGCTGGTTGGTGGATGCGCACTGCTGAGGAGTCCCATACTAAGACGAAACGGCCGCCTAGTGCTTCCAGATTTCCCATGGTGGTCTAGCTTCAATTGACTCATGATTTCAACCTGTGAAATTTCCTAAAATCTCCACAAAACTCATTCTGTTTATACGTTGATTACTAGAATGAATATAGACATTAGCTATTGGAAACTTCTTTGGATAAATGACTGTGAATATTCATTTAGTTAAAGAGTGAAATGGTCGTATTGTAGTGAATGAATATTCAGGTAGGGACAACCAATTTATTATTGTAGACAAATTTATAGAATATCTTGTTAAAATATAAGAATCATAGATTAAATATTTCATTTGCAAAACTTCTATGAATTGTCCTTTACATTCTGTATGATTCTTCCAATTCATAATACCTTTCTATTTCCATTTATGTTTCCCTTAAGTCGACCTTCATAGCTTTCTGCTGCCGTGCATTCCTCTTTTGATTGGTGTTACATACTATTAATGTCGACCGACATAAGGAGCATACACAACAGTATAACCTAGTCAAAAAATTGACTTACAAATGAAGTAATATCTCCCAGTTTGTTAAGCGTTAATCAAATCAAATTTACTTGAAGGAGATTGAAAGCGACAACATTTGGTGTTATTTGTGTGGAAGTTGAATAAAAACTACGCCCAATCTTGCAGAGATTTAGTGAAGTGATAATCAGAAGCCCCAGAATCAACGTATACTAAAATCTTATTTCCTCATGTGAAATTTAAAGATATGGTCAGCTTGATTTAAAGATTCTTTGAGCATAAGGAAACTGAGATTATTTAACAAACAGTTAGGATACAGTGAATTGTACAATTAAAACAAGAATTTCATACAGCTAGACAATAACATATCAGGTTTCATGATTATCTAGATTATTTTAATAAAGTCAAAGCGAACATTTAATAAGATAAGTTAAGTCTAGATCTATTTACACGTAAGTATCGTCCAACCATAGCTGATTCCTCATCAATTCTATCCACAGAACATAATCTGTTTATACGGTTGAATAGTATTCTAACCCAAAATCTTTTGTAGTTTGTTAGACAAATGCTAAACACGTTCACATATAGCCTTCTCCACGTACCATCTGTACATATATATGTTGAAGTGTAGAAACGTATCAAAATAATCAATAAATTAAGAAAATGAAAATTGGTACAATTCACCAAACTAAATTTCTTTATTGAAAAAGAAACAGTTATAAAGTTTGTATTACCCTAGTGACCTAATTTATGTGAGACTATAACAAAAGACTTTTCTCTGTAAACTTTAATCAAAAAATTTTTGGTCTCTTCAATTTTTTTTACTTCTGAAGTCTACTCAATTAATCGATATTACATAATCTGTCTTCGATCTAAGAAAACTATTTCTGTATCATACCCTTCTAGAATATTTGTTTATTTAATATATAAATAAGCAAGTATTTGAACAATGTTAATTCTCCTATATTATTATTATTATTATTATTAGCTTTATTCAATATTATATTTTTAGTACAATATAGAATTCTCAGCGTAAAGAGCGGCCTGCTTGAGCATCTGGGCCACCTGTTCCTGTCATCTAGATATTTCAACAAGATATCTATTTTTTGTTTGTTTTAATATATCATTATGTTTATTAATCGCATAACCCATTCTGCTGCGTTTCTCAAAAGTGTACAACCTTTCGTTGTCAAAGTTACAAAAAACTCAATAAGATACAATGTGGTTGCTGGCAATATACAACGAAAAGAATGCACATTATTCAGATGTTCATTCATTGAACTGCTAACATCTAACTGGCGATCAATCAATATTTATCGCCAGGACCGGCCAAGAAGAAAGAAACGGAAACTTGTTGAAATACTTTACGCTGAGAATTCTATATTGTACCAAAAGTATAATATTGAATAAAGCTGATAATAATAATCATATATGTTTCACAAGTTGAAATCATGAGTCAGTTGAAGTGAAATTTCTAAAATCTCCACAAAAAACCCATTCTGATAATCATATATGTATTCTCTCTTACTATCATTCTATTTTCACATATTCATTCCATTTATTCAAGACGATGCTTGTATAAATAATGTATACTCATTCTGTTTCTAACAATTTATACAATCGTTGTAAGCAATTGAAGAGAATTCATGAAATAAAATGAATTCATATTATTATGCTACAATATTTATTCCTTCTTTAATTAGTCTTATAAATCGAAAGAATCGTAATAGTATTATTTATTTATTTAGTAAACTTCCTGACATGCATTATGATATATCAGTAGGATTGGAAAATATTTTAATCTTCTCATTGATGGTTACGACTGCAATTGATCAGTCTCTTATTGACATTTGTATATCGTGATCGGATTGTCTCGATATTGCATTACATCATAAGCATTATAAGCAGAGATGGATGATGGCTAGCAGTGAGATCCAAGACACTCGTTTCGTCCTATTCGGCACATCCAGTTGACCAGTCCTAAAAAGAACGAAACGTGCATCCTGAATTTTACTGCTAGCCATCATCCATCTCTAATTATTATAAATGATATTTTGTAGATTATAATTTTTGGTAACTGTTTTAAAGTATAAGCATTTTAAAAGGTACACAGTTAACTTCTACAGCGTGAAATAATAACAGAAATACTAAATAGGAAAGAGATGATAAATGAATTAGGGATTTGCTGATAAAATGGAATAAAGGTGTTAAAGACTCTCTGGAGGATCATATTCATTAATAGCGTATTAATAATTATTAACTTCTTGAAGTAACAGAAAATGAAAATAAATTAGGTTTTCATTACCGATTTTACTGAAACACTGACAAACTAATAACCACCGCAATGAGATTTATTCTCTTGTAGATAAAATTATTGTGTCGTTTAGGACAGCTCTCAACAACAAGTTCCAAGCTTTACAGGATCTAATCAAAGAACATTAAACTACAAACTGCAAGTCTGCTTCACGTTCTGTTAAGGAAGTGTTGGGAGGAAGAGCAAGTGCCGATGGACTGGAAAGAAGGACAACTTATCAAGATACCGAAAAAGGAAATCTCAAAAAATTGTGAGAACTACAGAGGCATCACACTACTCTCAGTATCAGGAAGCAGTGACCAGTGGAGTTCAACCGGGTCTGTTGTAAGATAGTAACTCAATGAAGACAATGGTGAACGGTCGTGCAGTTTTGTGGTTTGTTTGAAGTTAGACAGTAGTCTAGAGGTTAAGCGTTCTGGCACGAGAGTGATAGGTTCTGAGTTCGGATCTCGTGGAGCGGAATTGTGGATGCTCACTACTGATAAATCCCATATTAAGATGAAATGGCCGTCTAGTGCTTCCAGGTTTTCCATGGTGGTCTAGTTTCAATTAACTCATGAATTCGACTATTAAATTTTTACAATCTCCACAAAACCCTTCTCTGAATATAA